CCATGACATCAAACATCGTAACATGACTTAATATGACCAATATACTGAATTTACATGAAAATGCTGAACTTAGTTCAATGGACCAAATACATGGCCGTGGTGCGCTCGCTATGTGCGAGGCTTACGGCTTATGGCCAATTCCTCGGTTAAACATGAAAACTTCTCGAACAACATGAGCCAACTGAACATAAAATGACCTAACTTGATCATTTAAACATCAATTGTTCGAACGAACTTGACAATAACAAAAGATAACACGGTGCGGCTGTGACGCGCACACCACGTGCGATCCTTGGCTTTAAGCCAAATTCTCGACCGAACTTTTATTTTACTCACCAATTCCCACTTGACTGAACATGATACACTTAATAAGGGCTGAAGAAACAATAAACACTCGGGACTTGCTGGAATAAAATGGAAGTACTAACATATCCTTACGGCTTTTGTTTTTAATTTGAAGAAAATTCCATAATTCCACACGGCTTTGATGATTAATTGATGATTAAGTGCTAATTAATCCCTTTCCTTATATTTAATTATTTAATTAAACATAATGCTTAATTACCAAAATTATTCCGAACGTACACGGTACGTCGAAAATAAATTTCGGTAATCTCGACTGAAAATAATTAATTCCGAAAATAATAATCGATAATCATTATTATATCGGAACTAAAACATACTTTATACTGATAAAATATCGGGATATTACAATCCTCCCTCCTTACAAAATTTCCGTCCTCGGAAATTCAAAACATAACTGATATACATGAACTATGTACATAGGATAAAGAAATATGTACATCAAAACTGAAAGTCTGAAAAACGAGCACGAATATCGGACTCCTCCTCCCAAGTAGCTCCGTGGCGATCCCACTGAATACGCACAAGGGGAATATCTCGCTTCCGGAGCCGACGAACCTGACGATCTAGTACAGCTACCGGTCGCTCCTCGTACGATAGATCTGGCTGAACCTGAATGTCCGAATGAGGAATGACATGATTGGGGTCGCACACGTACTTACGCAACATAGATGCATGGAAAACATTATGAATGCCTGACAAC